GGGAATGGGGCCTTGTAGCTAGATGTCACAGCTGGCATGGCTTGAGGACTATGGGACCCAAAACTAGAGAGCCAAAGTGCCAGGATCCACTCCAGTGGACTCTGGGCCCACTCATCTTTCGTGTATTTGTTATTTAGACCCTGGGCCAGCAGGTATTGTGGTAGTTAGGGTCTGGATCTTAAATGGCCAATTCCACAGTTCAATTCCCAGACCTAGCAGCTTGAAAAACACACTAAGGGGCGTAGAGGTTAAGGCGCTGGACACTCCCATGTGGCCGACCACAGTTTGAGTCCTGGACCTGGTGGCTTGCTTTCTCACTTTCCTTCTCTCTCTCTTTGTCGCTCTCTAGTCAAATTAAAATAAATAAATGAATAAATAAAATTAATATATTATTAAAAAAAAGAACACACACACACACACACACACACTAAGCATGTGTGCACGTGTGCCCAAATCCTGTGAAGAGAATGGAGAAGGAACTGCAGTGGCTATCTCCCTGGGGTAATTTCTCACTTTCTCTCTATCTCTGTCCAGCAACCACATGCACCTTATAGCACAAAACTTTTTATTTTGGAGAGATTTTTGCTATAGGGCATGTGTGCTCACCAGGAAGACAGAAGAGACAGAGAGACAGAAAGCGAGAAATCACCCACCGGGGGGATGATCATGCACAGTCCCTTCTCCTCCATTCTCCGCTGGGATCTTGGGCACACACACACATGCACCTGGCATGAGTTTAAACCACTGGATCTGGGACTTGAACCACAGTTGACTACATGGGAGTCTAGCAACATAGCCATTACGGCAACTGCTGGTCCCAATATAGCAGAAAACTTTAAAAAGAAAAAATAGAGGCCCAGCCTGCACCACACTGAAAGGCTAGAGCTACATGGAGACCAGGATTCAGATCCCAGGTCAGTCTGACAACCATGGAGGTGTCAGTGTCTCTCTCATGAAAGAATAAAATAGACTTTTCAAAAGTAGAATTTCACCACATCTCACTGCTCATGCACATGCCCCTCTCAGGCCTGGCACACATAAAGCCATGATCATGGGACACACACACACACACACACACAGAGACGTGTGCCCTTCGTTTCAACTCTTAACGTAAACACTCCCATTGCTTTTGGCCTCTGGCTGGCACGTCTGTCTCTGGATGATAGCCAAAGTGGTGGGCCTCCCACTCTGCTGTGCTGTTGAGCTGGTTCCAATATTCATTATCTTAAGTTGCTGGTTACGTTCTTTGTGTCTAATGAAGTTTCCTTTTTGTTTTTTCTTTCTGAATTTATCTCCTTAAAACAAGTTCCTGGGACTGGCAGGTTGCGTGGTGGTTTAGGGCACTGGACTCCCACATGGCCAACTGTGATTTGAGTCCCAGACCTGGCGGCTTCCTTTCTCACTTTCCTTTTCTCTTTCTCTCACTGTCCTTCTCTGGTCAATAAATTTATTTATTTATTTATTCATTCACTCATTTATTTAAATAAATAAATTTAAAGGTTTGTTTTTGTTTGTTTGTTTGTTTGTTTAAATTCCTAGTGAAGAGGCCTGTGAGTCAGAGTACAATGTGTGTGACTCCCTCGTTCATAGCTCACCATTCCTTCCTCAGGCACGGCTACGATTCATCAGATCAGAATGAATCAGATTCTCAGTTACTGGTATCTGGCTCAGGACTGACACCTGCCCTGGATAACAGATACACAAATTCCTCA